GGTGGAGCCGGATGGTCGCTATGTGAAGCCCCCCAGTGCCAAGCTCACCTATGGAACAATGGTGTTTGTTCGGTCCCTTATTGTTGGTCTGTCTGCCATAAACTTGGCTAAGTCATGTACAATTGCTATTCGCTACAGCGCTGTACGTCATCAGTCTGAAATTCGTTCCGGGTAAGTCAACATTAATCTCCTAAGAACATCAAACATTACTATTTCAACATTTAAATTCCTGTAGAGAACCTGAGCCCCAGATCTTGGACTATCAAACACAACAGTACAAACTTTTCCCTTTGCTGGCAACAGCCTATGCATTCACCTTTGTGGGTCAGTACATAAGCCAAACTTATCATCATATCATGGGAGACATCAACCATGGAGACTTCAGTGAACTGCCAGAGGTATGTGTCAATGATTTAAGATCAAAATGAAACTGTGGAGCTCTGTTCATACGTATGTGTGTCATGGGTGTGCTACAAAACACATAACATGGGACCATTCTGTACTTCTTTGTATTAAAGCACATTGTGAAACAATTATGCCGACTTGACTTGAGTATGCTCCACAGCTCCATGCCCTCTCTGCTGGACTGAAGGCCTTTACCACTTGGGCAACTAACAGTGGCATTGAAGTGTGCCGCATGTCTTGTGGTGGACATGGTTATTCCTGCAGCAGTGCCTTTCCTGACCTTTATGTACAGTTCACTCCCACCTGCACATATGAAGGGGAAAATACTGTTATGATGTTGCAGACTGCAAGGTACAGACTCGATACCGATACGGTCTGTGTTATAAACAGTTATATTTATATATTAATTTTACATATCACGGGTCAGATACCTGGTCAAAAGCTACAGGCAAGCCAAAGCTGGTCAACAGCTGAAAGGCATTATGGCATATCTGAATGACATGGAGCAGCGTCAAGTCCGAGCCCATCCGGCCTCTGCCAGGCCAACCGTCGTGGACATCAATGACCTGAGTAACCTTGTGGAAAGCTATAAACTCCGGGCTGCAACGTAAATAACTACAAATATTAAATATAGTTCAGTCATTAATTTTCTGTACTGAACGAGTTTGTTTTTAGACTTGTTGAGTCTGCTGCCAGAAGCATCCAGCAAGAGTTACAGAAGAGGAAAAATCAAGAAGACGCTTGGAATAACAGTGCTATTGACTTAGTCAGAGCCTCAGATGTAAGCTGACATCTACCTGACAGTAATTTTAAATGATTACAGTTATTGTGGTATTTCAATGTACAAACCCTGTACTGTTCCAGGCCCATTGTCACTATGTGGTAGTGAAGCTCTTCACAGAAAAGCTGAGTGAGATCGGGGACACAGCCATACACTCGGTGCTGTCCACCCTGGCTCTGTTGTATGCTCTGCATGGCATCACAAAAAACTCTGGGGACTTCTTGCAGGTCATTTGGGTTTTGCACATCTAAATATTTAGCTGTTTCAACAAAACTAATGAAAGACACCCTTGCAGGCTGGACTTCTGACTGTGCCTCAGATGCAGCAGATCTCTGTGCGTATTAAAGAGCTGCTGTGTCTGCTCAGACCCAACGCTGTTGCACTGGTGGATGCCTTTGATTTCAATGACAAAAATCTCAACTCTGTCCTGGGACGATATGATGGAAATGTTTATGAGAACCTGTTTGACTGGGCCCGGAGGTCACCACTCAATGCTACAGAGGTGGTTATCATTTTATACATTCTAACACAACTTTCTATATTCTAATATGAGTAAGGTGCAATCTGTTTTCTTAAGGACATCAGTATTTTTTAGCAATAATACCTTTTCTTTCTCAGGTCCATGAGTCCTTTCACAAGTACCTGAAGCCTCTGCGGTCCAAGCTCTGAGTATAAGGCAGGTTGATGGACACTGCTGCTCTGAAGAGCAACAATATTGCAGGAATATTGTGGACGTTAAAAAATTTTAAGAAATATTTTTGAATGAAACATGAGACTTTTGTCTATTCTAAAGTGAAAATTAAATCATGCATTTGTTTTTTATTTTATCTGTACAGTATAATAGTTACTGACTAATTTAAGTAATAAAATAATTACTTTTATTTCTATGAAATAATGCACTTAAATATCCCAAATTTGTCAAAACATGTTGTCATTTTGTGTGAACTCAATCTTTGCATATTATTGCTGTGAGGAATAGGGCAGTTTTTACTTCGAATGACTATGTCTCAATCACTGTGTTTCAATGAAGTTCAGAATATGTTTAATAATAATAATAATAATAATGGCCACTCAAAAGATGTTTTACAGAGCTCATTATTTCACTCCACACTCGGTAATGGTAAACTTCTATTAAGTATTAACCCAGCTGCCCTGGGGCAGATTGACAGAAGCAAGGCTGTGAATCTGCGCCATCGGCCAGACCACCACCATCAGTCACGCACCCATCACTTTTATACTAGGCAGTGTGGGTGAAGTGCCTTGCCTAAGGAAACAAGGAGTTTGTTTTGCGACTGGCGCCCCTCTGTAGCACCTGGGTCTCCCATCCAAGTACTAACCAGGCCCAGCAATGGTTAACTTCTGAGATCTGACGGGATCAGGCTTTGAGAAGTGGGTATAATTAATTAACTAGGTTAATCATAATCAGCTGCGCTCACAATGTCTCTTAAAAGGTGTTAGACTTCAGAATTTTTCTGGAAGTTGCCATGTGCCTATTTTATTTTTGTTGTATGCTAAATGAAAACATGAGTGTTAAATAGAAATATATTTCCTCTTAATAAAACTGTTTTTTATAATCACTTATAAGTGCATTTGCCATGTGAGTCTTCCTCTTCCACTTATTTGAAATGAAAATCAATTAACATATTTTCCATAATATGATTCTGTATTTTCTTTTTGATATTCTATCTCTGTGTTAAAATAAACCTCCCATTAAAATAATAGACCGTTCATTTCTGTCAGTGGGTAAATCTGCAAAATCAGCAAGGGATCAAATGCTTATTAATCCTGTTTAACTGCTCTATTTATCCAAAATATTTTAGTTGTGTCCTCAGAAAGGATACAGAGCTGCTTATATCAGTGTACATCATCTTCACTAAATGAATACATTTATGGCCAAATCCCAAATACTCTAGTGATTTCATTATGAAGTGAAGGTCTACAAGATCAATAGCTTTATAAAAATCAAGAAATAAAATCCTTACCCTGGGTTTTCAATTAGGTGATTACAATTTAATAAATCTAATACTAATTGAATATTATTGTGAATTTATTTATTTTTTATAAATCCCGATTCCCGGGTTTCACTGATAAAGTCTTCAATTCCAGTTTTTAATCTGTTCGCCATAATATGAGTCAAAATTTCACTACATTCAATAAAGAAATGGGCCTAAGGTTGTCTATATATCTTTTATCTTTTCCAGGTTTCGCCAAGAGTGTAATGACACCACACCTTGTTTCATTGTTGTTGGTTGTTGTTCTTTACACAATCTTCAGAACACATTAACTCTTTAACTCCAATAATCTTTCACTATTTAACCTTTTTAATGGTTGTTACTTTTAAAACCTCAAAAATCTTTATTCCCCGTGTGCTCCAATTTAGGTTGTTAATAAGGACTGTCCAAATTAGAGACTCCTGTAGGGAACATTCTGCTTTCTGATTATTATATAATCCTCTTATGACATAAATGTTTTTTTGTAATTAAGAATAAACTAGTATTTGAATGTAACTGTCATCTGTAAGAGCACTATTTGATTTAAAGAGTCCATATTACTCTATTTTCTGATTTATGTCATGTTTTTTTTTTTTCTCATCAAAAACAGACCCAGAGTTATGTTTTGTTTCATTCACACATGTTTAACACACAAACCCTGCATATTTAGGTGAGCTTTTCTCAAACTGAGAACACTCTGTTCCACCTCGTGATGTCATGCAGTAATACAGGAAGCGCTCCACTGTGTTTTTAAACTCCATACACCTTCACTAGAATCATTTGGCTCATTTCAGCCCTGGATTTGCCAATCTCTACCAAACAAAAGGTAAAATGTGGCTATTATCTTGAAAACTACCATTTCATAACATTATAAGTTGGAACTGTGCATTTTGAGCTTTGTGTAAATTAAACAAAACACAGCTCCACCTTTTTGATGAGATAACATTATAACATGACTTAAAGCTCACAAGATTAATATATGCATAACATAAGATATGTTCACCTCAAAATGAAAACGTTGATGTTGTTTTAAATGCCAGCTACTTCTATAACATGTATATAATCTGATTTCAGCTATTTACAACCCCGACTTTCTTTTCCAAAAACGTTCTCTGATCATTGATTGCTTTCTGCAGAAGGGCAAGATTTACTCCATCAACGCAGTTCAGCACACGGGCACGAACCACTGCCCCCACACCTGTATAAAATAAAAGCACCAAGATGAGCATTAGGCTACGGAATATTTAAGATTGTACATATGAAATACTTTTACCCTCTATATTTTCTAACTCTCCAAGAACCATGTACTGAGCACCAATTACTGCGTCAAATGGTTCAACAAACAATGTATGAACAATTACACGATGGTCCTTTGAAGACTGGTGTGCTGAGAGCGTGGCCAAGGACTCCTCTGGTTCATACAGGATGAGTCTGGAATGAAAAGAGATGTGTTCAACTTTAATTCGTGCATATGGATAAGATATGCACATAAGTATACTGTAGACTCACTTGCCAAATGTTCTCAACGATTCCCCTTCCTGTACTGATCCAGAGGTTAGTTCCCAGGGAAAACGATACACTGCAGCTGAAGGGAGCATACTGGAAAATATACAAAACTTTACGTGTGTATAATAGCATTTGTGCACAGATCTCATGGGTATAAATCAGCCATCGCATCTATTTCTTCCGGTTCTGTCACGTGACACCTCGACTCTCGTTTTTCGAATAAACAGCATCCCCTAGTGTCCGAATCATCTGAACCAGGGATACAGACTATGGCCCAAACGCATCCAAACTTGTTTTTCTTATAATTTTTAGATTAAGGTCTGCATATTGAAACAGACATGAAGCGAAGGACCATTTGAAAGCCAAAGACTGGCTGTGCTGTACTAGTCAGTACAATAATTCATGTGGGTAGTGCAGAGTGAGCCAGAATTCATGCCATGAACATGAAAACAACCTGAGCACTCTAAAATTGGAATTTCAAGATGCATTTTAGATGTTAAAAAAAACCCATAAAAAATTATAATTTGACCCAACTCACCTGAAAGCTTGTGGGGTCAGGACAAATTGGCCAAGAACCGTATTTACCCCTCAGCCAATTTCGACAAGATTTTAGGTTTAAGATCAGATGTGCAGATCTTACTTTGCACCCTTTAAGACAACTTCATAAATTAAGGATGAGATGCACCTCCAGTGATTTAACCCTAAACTGGCCAACTGAATATTTAAGTCCGTGTTTCCCCCGTGATTCCCGCTTTGCTTTGGGACACCGCTTAATATCTGATTCATGCTGAAATTGAGGAACCAGGGGAGGAGGATAGAAAAGAAGGCGAAGTAAGAGAATTGAGAAGAGCCAGGTCAGGTATGGCGTATTCTATGGTCCTGCCCATAGACCGTATATATACAGTGTATGGTCCTGCCAAGGTCCTGACTGTCCAGATTCCTGCAGGACCATAGTCCCGCCCCGATCCTGCGCTCAGACGTAGCCCCGCCTGCACGAGCCCAGAGGAGGACGTCTGTAGAAAAGGGAAGTGTCACTGGTCGATCTGCCGTATGGCCACATTGTGGACTAATTTTATCTGCTAATGAACAACAAATCGTTTGTTTCTTCTTTCGGGTAAGTGAATTATGACTTCACTGAGCTTAGATCTGTCTTATTGCCATACAAAATAGATTAGATGCCCAATTTACTTCTAGTTGAATATAACTGATTAAAACTAAAGTTTCTACCGCAAGGATAATCTTAGAGCATTGTGAAAAAACTCCAAGTTTAGATCTCACAGATGAGGTCGAACCGACTTCATGTAGTCTATGTGTTTCCAAGCGAGCGGCTCCGGAGCATGCCTAAGCAAACCCTTTGTTGGTGCCCGCTCGGGATCGGCTCTGGGCTGCACACATGACATTTTATCCAGCTCAAATTTCCCCCTTATTTACCGCGTACCTCCCGAAAAGTCAACTCTCCAATCCCGTATGTGTTTATTTTTCTTGGAAGAGATCTTTCACATAATTGCCTTAAATTAGCCTGGGCTTGGCAATATAAAAAGGAGTAGGCTACACATAATTAGTAGTTTTGTCTGTTGTGAAGTGGGCTGGTTTACAAAATGAGACCTGTCATAGTCTGATGATGCTTTGTTTAATTTTAATGTTGACACCTACCAGTTGTCTAACGATTGCTTTATGTATGCTTTGAAGATAAAAGTAGGACAATGCTAATTCCAAGTCTTATTTTCAATTAAAGTTTTAGGCCTACCTACAGGACCTTTTGATATTTGAACCATTCACATTTCGTCGTCTTTGTTGAAACCATAAAAGTCAGTTAGATGATTGGGAGGATAAAAAGTTGTGATGATGACTAAAGGTCTTAAATTCCTTACGTATTTTCCCTCCAGGCCATTTCAGTTTTCCAGTCAGTCTTCAGTCTTTTTACACGTGTTTGAACTTGCCAGACGAACAGTTTCTTTTTCAAGACACTTTCAGCACTTTGACAGAATTGATTTTTTAAGGTCTTACATTACGCAAAATTAACTCGTGAGCTTTAAGCCATGTTATAATGTAATTATCTCCTCAAGCACATACCTGGAGTTGTGTTTTGTTTCACACACACACACACACACACACACACACACACACACACACACACACACACACACACACACACACACACACACACACACACATATTTGAGTAATCCTTTATTATTAGTCTCTGTCTGCAATTGTGATAACCATGAAGCAGTAGTTTTCAAGTTAACATCTACGTTTTTACCTTTTCTTCAGTAGAGATTGGCAAAAGGTGTATGGACAGAGTTTAAACGTGTGGAGCACTTCCCGTATCACCGCATGGCGTCACAAGGTGGAACAGAATGAATGAAACAAAACATAAATCTAGTTATGTTTGTGGTGAGGAAACAACATTATAAGTTAGATCAGAAAATTGTATAAAACGGGCCTTTAGCAGTTGTCTCAGAAAGTGCATTATAGCCACATTTGAATTTATTTGCCCTCCTATGAATACTTGAAAAACTTTAAAGATTTAGTTTTATGTTGGCCTTATATGGCACATGAGACTGCTGTGTTTTGAATTCACTGCAACCACATTGTCTGAGAATAACTGAGGTTTGTGTTGGTGCTGATGATGGCATAAATTGGTAGCCTTCTGTTTGCCATCTACCCTAAGACAGCCGTGGCTACACTAGTTTATCTCCATTGCGTCAATTAATAAAGCAGAAATATGTCAGTGGACTTGGAGCATCTGGAAAAAGACTAAAGCAATCACAATTTGGCATTTTAACTAGAAATCGGCCTATATTGTTTTGTTTTTTTAAGGGCAGATGCTGATGTTTAGAATCCAGAGCAACTGATGGCCGGTAAGTTCTGCCGATATTTTTGGGCCAATATGATGCATATTTAAATTCACTAAAAAGACTCACCCAGAGCCTTTTTTTTCTCCACAAACTTTTAAGAAAGATGTGTAGTCATGTTTTCAGCAGTTATATATTTGCACTAAAGTGGTTCAAATAAAGGTTTATGTGTATTTTTAGGCTGAAGGTCACTCACAAAATATTGGCCTGTGCTGGAGATTTAACCAATATATATTCAACTGATACACCCATCTCTAATTGTTACTGGCTATTATACAAAGCATAGTTGGTTGTAGATCATATCTGTCAATTTTGGGAGATACACTTCTGTCTTTGTCTCATGGTCTCACTTGAGTACTCAAAGAAGATGCTGACTGGTGGACTCTTAAAAGTAAACATATTTGTAGTGAAAGTGAAATTGCATTGAGTGAAGAATAAGGATTCATACAGACAACACACACCTTCTACAAGGCTTTTTGACTGCTCGAGATCCCACTGGTTAAAGAGTGCTCTGCCAGATTATTGCACACACACATACACGGATGTGACAGACCAAACTATACATATTCCAGAATCAAATAACTAGGGATGGGACAAGATCTCGTACCACAAGATCTTGCGAGACAAAATTGCCAGACTGTGCACACATGAGAAAAATTATCTTATGAGATTTTTTCCTCCTGACTTTACCTTCGGCTTGGATTAAAAAAAAGAGCTAAGAGCTAGTGAGTTTTATAATTTGAGAAGCTGACCACAAAAATATTTCATAAAATAAATAAAAATTATGAAGCCAAAATTATGAAATGGATTGCACTACCTATTTATTACAAATTATGTACAAATATTATCTTGTCTCATTCTTATGTACCCATTCTCATGATGTGTCTCATCTTGTGAAAATTGTCTCTCATCCCACCCCTACAAATAACTCCATATCCTATTGGGAGCCTTTGACAATTTTATTCACATTCAGTTTCTTGCCTAAAAACTAGTAATAATACTATAATATACTATATTATACTATACCATAATATACTATAATATAATATACTATAATATTATATAATAATTTAAATCTCACATGAAAAAATGGCCACAATGCTGTGCACATATGAGGAAAATAATCTCATGATATTTTTGAGGTTTAGTTTGGGTAAAAAAAAAGAAAAAAAAAAAAAGTTAAGTTTGAGTTATTCCTCTTGAAAAGCTATAGTCCCCAGTGTCTTGTGTCTCATGTTGTTGTGGGAATTTTTTCTCTAAATGTTGCCCTAGTCATACCAGATCATATTTTTCAAGTATAAAATATGACAAAAGTAGAGAAGATAGTACATTTTTGGATGACTGGATTGGTATTTCTTCCACTCCACTAACAGCCCACTTCTCTGGCTCCTGGCCCAGGTTCAGTGGGGCTCCTGCTCACTCATCTATTTACAACCTGGATGCACATACCAGCCATACTGCCAAGGCTTCATAGTTCAAATGAACCCAAAGGACAGTGATTGTTTTATCGCCGAGTTTTGGAAAGTGAAAGTGTTATATCTGACACAGACAGTATTGCCATACAGTGATGATCAATGTCCAACAATATATAACTATCTTTCAAATAAACAAATACATTTTTACAATAGTATTACCTCAATAAAAATGCTAAAATAAAAGTGTCCTCTTCCTACTTATCTAGGTACTATCTCTATGATTAGGCTTAAAGTGCACTCACTGCAAAAACAGTTATAGCCACAGTATGTACCTTTTTAGCCAAAAATAGACCAAACTAAAGCATGTTTTTTTTTCTCTCTCTCTCAATTTGGTTGTGTGAGTGGGCTTGCATCTCCATAATCCTGACTCTGTTTGACCTGTACATATGCCTCCTCATGCATGTTTCTGCAGAAATGTTGTTTCTCTGACTAATATTCCAGAGTAGGGCATGTCACTCATCACTCTCCCTGGAGAATGTTCCAAAGTATGGTACTTTCTGTTTCCATGGAATCCATGGAGGTGACGTGCTACTTCCATAAAGTTACAAGTAGTAAATTGCATATTTGTAAAAAGGCAGATGATACACACATTTTCAGCAGCTAATTCTCTCCAAACCCTCTCTTTTTCCAGATAAATCAAATAGTACCAACAAAAATGTTTCTCCCCTGAGGAAAGCCATAGGCTGAAATGCGTCGGGACTTTGTAATTGGTCTACTAACACACCATTGACAACTAATGGACTGAAGTTTTACAACCCTGATACAATGCATTAATACAGTTTTTTTTTTTTCTCCACTGTACATAACTCCAAATAAATTACAATTATCTCATGTGTGAAAGAGAAATTATGTGAATACATCTATAGTTGTATATATTTGTAGTCTTTTTGTTGTCAAACTTTCCTCTGGGAATTAAAACTAATTGTTGAATTAAACAGATGATTGAAACTGTTGCGGCATTTGCCAGACAGAAAAGGTTAAATTCTGCAGAAAGATGACACAATACTATTTCCTCATTTTTGTTTCAAGAGAGTTGAAAAGAAAGTGGAACCGTCCTGATGTAGCAAGAATCAGCATGAACAGTTGTCATGAAACGGTTAGGACTATCTTGACCTGTAGGTTACAGGGGTTGTATTGCTGTATAATCATCATGAGCTCAGAGAGGCCTACCATTTCAGTGCACTGTCTGTAGTAACACAACAGTGGTCTTTGTAAAGTGGAGGCGTTGCATCTGATATTCCCCAGACTCAGATGTGAGAAGAGACTGTGAGCCAAGCAGCCTGTGTTTGCTTCTTATGAAACATGCAAAAGAAATATGCATCTACCAAATCTTGTGTTGTACTGTAAGACAATATAGTTATTCTATTTTATAAATTTCATATAGGGCTGAAAATTTTTGGAAATAATATCCAATTGCTAACCTGGTCAGCAAGATCACTTATCATTGCATTTGACTTTGGCAGAAAGGGTCAACATTGCTGAGTTACATTTCTTGAGTATCCATAGTTCTTAAAGGCATGGCTATAATTACAGAGAAATATATAAAAAAATTAATTAATAAAAAAAAAAAGAAAGTCTATTGTCTTGTGAAAATTTTATCTTATCCCACCCCTAACCAAAATACAAAAATACAAACCACAATGACCACTGTGAAAAAAGGTTCATGTCAGGCAAGCGCTCTCCACACTGCAGCTGTGAGCGCTACAGAGGAAACGCGATACTTTCCCACACTGTTTTAACTGCCCCGCCTATAAGAGGTATAGAAGCACCATGTCCAGACAAGTCACCCCTGTACTCCCCCCTGATTGTGAACCTGTTAATATGACTATATGGGACTAACACAGAGCAGCCCTCACTCAGGAGATAGGGAAGAACCATGGAGACGCTCTCACAGGGGACTCTTTGTTTTTTCCCACAGCAGCTTGAAACAGGGGGCTTACACAGTAGGTTAAGAGTGTAGGTAGAGAGAGGCTCAACTGAAGGTTATAGTCGGGCCTCTGGAGCACCTGAGTGATGTGGTATTTTCCATGTCATATGATCACATCAGTAATGGGTGATGTCATCTTTCTATCTTAGTCATGCCAAGATGTAATGAACACTCTGTTAATTGTTTGTTTATTAAATCTTAATCAGTCACATTTTTCTTATTGAAACAAATAAAAATGGTGTTCAATTTTAATGTCACGAAACCTTAATTTCATCAACATAAAACAAGACCTTTAGTCAGTCACTTATCAAATTTATCCTTCAGATGCTGAACTTTGCTGTTATTTCTACACCTATGGACTGATGTAATAGTGAAATGTAGAAATGGTAGGTTAATATGTATTTTTAAGATAAAATGTGTGATGTTGTAAATACCTAATGCTTTGCTCTGTTGATGTGTGATATGGTGTCAATGTGTGTGTGAGAGTGGTCAGTGTGAATTGTTCTTATTGCTGAATATAATTGCAATGTATAATTTATTTCTGTAAATCAGGGACTACAGATGGAAACTAGCTATTTAGCTATAATCTGGTGCAGATGTCTCTTTACATTGTCCCTTCAGATAAAGACTAAACTAAAACTAAATGAAACTACACTTACGAAGTGAGACCTCTTTCATAAAAAGCACTGATTACTAACTATTTTAAACATTTGGATCTGGATTCAAGTTGATATTGAGCAGTTGAAATTTTCACATTGTAGTCCAATAGACCCTTTTTCTCCCAAATAAGTCTTTCCTCATGTTAGACTTTTTGTTCTGATTGAAATACCTTTTTTGGGAACAAGATCACAAGTTTATTTGAGCTCAGAGCACATACTTACTCATGATGCGTCTTTGGGCATGACACTTTGCTAGTCACAGTTATGTGGGTGGGTCATCCAGAGCCTGGTTACTGATAACCACTGGCAGAAAAGCGACAACATTTTTTCTTTGTTTTTAACTGAATTAAGATGTACTTGATCTCATCTGTAGTTGATCTACATGCACACTGTTCTTTGGACCAAACCTTAGCCGCATTTGATTTAACAGTGCCGACAGTTCCCACTCCGTCAACACTGTCCATTAGTAAATTCCTTCTTTATGTCTAAGTGGGCGGGTTCCTCTCACTCTCTTTGCAATGGTGATCTACACACTACCACAAGTCTAATACACGGAAGCTTCATTTTGTGGCTTCAAATATTTATTATGTCTAATTGAAAATGCTGCCGGACATCATTAAGCAGTGAAACAGTTTTGGGGGATGGGCAAAGTCCTGTCAACTATTGATTGCATTGGTGTCCTGTTTCACTGCTGCCATTCCTTTTGCAGAAACCAAGGATTTCACATAGATTTTTTTGTTAAGCCACAACTCTCTGACAACTTGCAGGCTTTGAGGCATAACTGACATAACTGAGGTGTCGACCTAGGGCTGGGGCAGTTATTTTTCCTCTCTACTGTGTACTGTTCTACACTGAAGCTCCAGGAATAGACGCGGGGAGGGTTGTGACGTTGGTAATGGCCAGGACACACTGATAAGTAAATGAATCTGAAATGTCATTTATGGCTGAAAGCACGTCATGAAATAAGATTATGAACTGAATGGCTGGCATGCAGGATGTCTTTCATATTTCATCAGTGTATTGTTTGACTGATTGTGAAATAAATCAAATAAAGTTTGAGGTGAAAGATGATTGTCTAATGAGCACAGTATTGATCAGTATCTAATGCTATATGCAAGATGCTGCTTCATTTGTGATTGTATAGATAGATGACTCCCTAAAGATTTACACTAGGGCTCGACTGATATAGATTTTTTTGAGGCCGATATAATACTGATAAAATGGGAGCTGGAGGTGCCGATAGCCGATATATTTAGTGATGTAAAAATTCACTGTCAGTTGATTATAAAACTTAGGTCTGGCTCTACTGGATTTTAAGTTGGGTTTGTTTAGGCTAAATATGACTGTAAAGAGCCAATATAACAGTAAATGTAAAGACAGTAGATCGGCCTAATGGCATTTTTGCATGACATTCTAGCTAATAAAGAAAGTAAGTAGCACCTTTATTGCCGAACATTCACACTTCTATTACAGCTCATCTGCATATCAGTGCAGATCCAGTGATGTCTATACAGCCACTATAGTCACTTTACAGTAGGCTAATGTAAGAGAAAACACGCTGTTTATGTGTGGAAGCTTACATTAGCCAAGTGCTAACCAATGAGAAAGAACCAACACATTTACAACACTCACCGCTCACACAGGCACATCAAGTCTTCACAAATAAGTGTCCTTTTAATCTTGACTCAAAACAATCATCCAAAAAATAATATAATCCAGCAGGTTGACAGCAGCTGTGTGTGTCCTCTGTCTATGGGACAGTCCTCTCTGCTTCGTGCTCGCACTTTCATAAAAACATGCAGTAGTTTTGGTTCTGGCCCAAACTGCGCTGAATTTCACTTTTATTTATCGTCACTATTGTAGATCAGACTCAAGAGCATTTAAAGCAGTGCCTCAGTGTTGCACACATGGATCTATGGCTGAGCACAGGTGTAAACAAGCGCACTAGATTTACTGTGGGGGTGCGTTCAGGGGCAGTACAGCGTCACAGACACAAACAAATTACTCTGCAGATAAACACTGATGCTGTGCCACATAATGGGACATTTATCTGTCTGCAAATTGCATTACATTAACATAATATAGAGATTCTAAGCTTTGTTAAGAGGCGTAATATGCCCACGTCGAAAATCAGCAAGATTTAAGCTGATAGCCGATATGTCTCCAAGTACCCATATCGATAATATCGGCCAACTGATATATTGGTTGGGCCCTATTTAGTTGTTGATTAATTGGTCGATAGTGTCTTAGTCAACAAATCATTTTATTTAGATTATGCTGCTGTCCCAGATTCTTACAAAGGAGAAGAGAGTTTGTAAGTGAAGATTTGGTATATGTAAAAAGGCAGATGAAACTCTCTACTTACGAGGCTAAGCTGTCTTTATATTGTTTCCTAGTACTTTCTTCTCTATAAATAGCTGTCTTTTGGCATGAATGTCTGTGCAGGTGTAATCTTGTGAGTGCAGTTTGGGTCAGATATGTAATAATATTTTTGAGAGCTTTTGCCATGCCTTCTTTTTAATTCACCAAGAATTTCTTCTTAGTCTATTACAAGTCTGGTGTATAATTAATGCACTTCTGAAAAAAACTAATGGCGGATCACCTCCCTCAAAGGTAGAGGGGGTTTGTCAAGGTCCGTCCCAGTTTGTCAGCACACATTTATCTAAGAGCTGTTTACTTAACTTTCCTTAAAGGCTTCCTGTTTATGTATTTTATTTTAATTACAGGAAGCTTACAGGGGAACTGTCGTTTGTGTACTTCTGAAGGACAGAGACAAATGCATTGAGTGCTCACACAATATTTAAGTTAATTTTAATCCATTTTCTTTATAGGTCTCCGCATGAATGGCATCGCTGGAAGGGGAGGAGCCCCCTCCAAATGGGGGCCAATCAGATAGTCGCCTCAAAAGCAAAAAGCCCCCAAGCCTTGTAATAGCCATTCCCACAACTGCAGAAAACATGGATCCAGATCCTGCCAAACAGGTAAACTGTCAGTGCAACTGACACAGCGTGGTTGATGGGCAGCCATGCTTTTGTGTTACAAACTTGAGCTGAATATAGTTTTGTTTGTTAAATAGATTTAACAATTAAGTAAATGGATTGTTTTCCAGGAGAACAGAGAAGCAGCAGATCTGCCGCCTGTGTAATTTCACTGCTGCCAACATTGTCTAACTTATTTATAATCTGTTATGTAACAGAACTATACTGCAGTGTCTTTGTTCTTCAATCTGGAGTTAGTTAACTGACTCTTTGTATAAGCGTAATGAGTACAAAGATGTATCTGATAAGGGTCCAGTGTTTGCAGAAGCACGCTCTTTGTACAGTTTGCTGAGTTATGAAGGCATTTTGGACAGCTGTCCCTGTGGTACTGAGCCTTTCCCCTGCAGGCCTCATGCACAAATAATGGCCTTGGACAGCAGTAAAGTTCAGCAGAGCATGCTCTAGCAACACAATTTACTTTTCCACCTATAACCTCACTTTAAGTATAGCATCAACTTGGGCATTATGTGCACATCTGCAACAAGAAAAGTTCAATGTGCACTTATTTAGAATAGTGACTTAAAATAGCAGGTAGCTACATAAAGGATCAAATGTCAGAATGTTTTTTACTATACGAAATTCATACATTTTGAATTTAGAAATCAGGAAGGTATTTTGTGCTAAATAATCTGCTCTTCAGACCAGAATGGCTCACAAACCCAAAATAAACATGTTTGCTGTTAACACCATGAAGTGACGAAGGCAACACAATGGCAATAACGGCATACACTTGGCTAGTGTTCTGTTTAGTTAAGTAACTTGTATTCACCATTTATATTGTGGTTAAGGGTTGTCAATCTATAAAAAAATATAATATTGCAGTTGTTGTTCTGAATATATATGAATAAATGAATAAATTAGAATATTGAGTATATCATCTCAGAATTAAACAATTAAAAATAAAATGAGCAGAAACATCTAGTTTATTCTCTTAAACAAGGTGGTAAAGTGATATCTCTGCCCTTCTGTGGTTAATTTTATGGTCCATTCATGTTTTGTGTTTGGTTTTCCTCAACCAAGACATGTATAGGCGGATTTTAGTCCATTCCTGATACATTGTTAAAATATTGCTTGAATATGGTGATTGAGATATTGCAACAAAAAATATTGTACTTATCAATATTTATATATATCCGTATCACCCCACCCTAATATTGGATTAGTTTTTCCCCAGCTACAGTTTATCCTAAGAGCCTTGTCTTTGTGTCAATAGCCTCTACGATCTGCACTGAAGAAAAGTGCGAGTGGTCAGGCCCCCAGCTCAATGTCAGAGAGTTTCAGTGGCGCCGGAGATGGAAACTTCTTGACCAGAGACAGACGATCAAAGTTCGGCCGACAAACCTCACTCTCACAAAGTATCCGGAGGTAAAACACATAACATTCCAATAAAACACTATGTATCTTAAACACCTGCTTGAATATTCCACGGTATGACATTAAACAGCTCGACCTTACATTAATTCAATTACAGGTAGTTTTATAGCTCAAAAATACTTAGAAAAACAGGCATTCTGACTGTGAGCTTGGTTGCCTCTCCACATATCTGAGCTGTAACCTCGTCTGGTTTGGTCTCTATGAAGATAGAAAGGTTTAATACCATATTGTGAAACATTCCAGATGAAGCAATAACATCTCTATGGAGAAAAGCTGACGGACCCTCTACCAGAAAAGTTACAAAGTGAATCTTTAAGGTTACCATAAAATGAAATGTATCTTTTTAAATTGTCCCAATTATTATTATTTTTGGCCGGCATAATGCCAATAATCACGGTCATGACATTCTTATTCAGCTACAACAACTATTATTTATTACAAATGTTTTCAGCCAATTTAACTTCCCTCCTCTGACCGCTACATATAAAGTGACATATAATCCTAGCATCCAATTGGAATAGGGATGAGAACTCAAAAACAACATGTTTGCCTTACACATTCATACATTCATGCATTCATACATTCATACATTCATGCATTCATGCATTCATATCATATTTCATAAAGCCTGGATAATGAGTAATGATTGTTAGCAATGCATTGTGTACTTGTAGAAACACGGCTCAATGGTTTGGAGTGGGAGGAAACTGTGAGAGCAAACAGCAGGTCTGGCACCGGAAGAGCATGCGGCACTGCAGCCAGCGCTATGGCAAACTCAAGGCCGAGTATCGAGAGTCCGAGGTGGCCACGAGCATCGACCAGGGCCCAGAGTCTCCTACCACACATAAAATGAAGAAGGTACACACTGACTCTTATGCAACATGCAGATCACAGCTAGCACATACACAGTGAGAAGAAAATGAAAATGTGTGTTAGACATGGAGCATCTGTGCCATTCTTTGAACGTGATACTCCACTACAGTCCTGTAATTGAATTTAGATTCAAACTAATCATTTAGTTTCCTAACTAATACAGTTCACAGTAACTTAGAATGTTGCATATGTTTTTCAAACTGTATTTTAAAGGGTGAGATCGTGTTTTATATATTTACAGATTGTGGATCCACTTGCCAGAGGGCGAGCCTTTCGTGGGGCAGATGAGGTGGACTGCCGATCTCCTAAGACCCCCCAAACTGCCCATGGTGGACCTATCACCCCGGGTGTCACCTCCCTTTCCTCCTTCACCAGCCAGCGCTCCGGCTACAGCCGCCTCCCCAAACGCAAGAGGGAATCTGTGGCCCGCATGAGCATCCGCGCTGCATCTAACCTGCTCAGGGTAAGTGTAGATAAGTCATTTTTAATGCAATCTTCATTAGATACTGGTAAAGGGCTCTGCTAGACTGGTTTATTACATTAGAGATGGAACAGTGGAATAACAGCATGCCTATAGCACCTCCTTGTGGTGTTTTGAGAAGACTGAATCTGTTTTAATAACTTTTCTACTTTAAATAACTTTTCAGTTTCCTCATTCATAAGCACTTTTAAGCAACATGTACAGCCCTGTTACAATTTTATTTTGTTTTTTGTCCAGGGTCATGGTGGTCTGGTGGGCTCACAGACCGGTCGCAGTTTTCCCAAAAGGAGCTTCATGCATCACAGCTGGATGGATGAGGACACTGTGGACTCTGCTGACACCTCTCGATCTCTCTTCTTTGGCAAAGTCAGTCACTGACTATGCCAGATTTTATTCACCTTTACTGTTTAATCAATAAAACAATTGCTGCAACAGTGCAGATTAATATTTTGCATAAAACAACAATTTACTAAATAATTTATTTTATGTTCACAAGGGGGATGCTCGAGACGAATTTTACTCCATGGCTGACGATGTGTTTGAGTCACCTCCCATATCTGCCTCTTTTGGTTTTGGAGACACAACAGACCACAGCAAGTGAGTACTACACAGCTACTACAGTGTGATGGTAGGCCTACTGTTGCTGAGCTATTATCTGTATTAGTTATTCTGGTTAAGTACTTTAATCTTGTTTTGTCCACAAATTGAAGCCTAGAAATATCTCGAACTCCTAAAGCGCCAGGAGCTGGACTAGAGCAGGGGATCCCTCGGCGCGGGCGGCGCATCGCTTCACAAGTGAAACATTTTGCCTTTGACAAACAAAAGCGACAGTACGGCATGGGCGTCGTGGGCAAGTGGCTGAACCGCCACTATCGCCGCAGTCTCAGCAGTAACGTCCAGAAACAACTGGATGACTTCCACAGCCACAGGTCAGCACTATCTCGGGTCCTGTTTCCCTTTAGTTAGCAGGAAATGGAAAGTTGGTCTTTGAGGGGAAACTTACGGCAAATTTGCTGGATTTGTCTAGAATGAATTAAGAATTTAAAATGCTTAGTTAACATTGCCTGTAAATCTGTTGTGTTTACAGGCCTTACTTTACCTACTGGATAACATTTGTCCATATTGTGATCACATTGTTGGCATGTTGTACATATGGTTTTGCCCCTGTGGGGTTTGCACAGCACTCACAAACTCAACTGGTGAGTAATACACACAGCATACACACACATTACACACCTGGCACATTTTGTCAAATTTGCTTTGTGCTTTGTACTCTGTAGGTGCTTAAAAACAAAGGAATTTATGAGAGTGTCAAATACATACAACAGGAAAACTTCTGGATTGGTCCTAGTTCTGTAAGTCGGACTTTTTGGCTAAACTTTAATTAGAATTATGTTAATTTAATAATTAATTTATTTTAATTTTTTTTTTCTTAGGATGACCTGATCCATCTTGGGGCCAAATTCTCTCCATGCATCAGACAGGACCAGCAGGTTGTCAGCCTTATTAAGAAAGCTAAAGATCTGGAAAGGGAATCTGGGTGCTGTGTCCAGAATGACAACTCTGGGTGTGTGCAGACCCACCCCTCAGACTGCTCTGTACGTGAACACACCTTTTTAGTTTGGTGCATATCTGTGTGTGTGGATGGGCTTTGTCACATTGTGAGGACTTCAATCTGTGTACACATTGAATTCATGCAGACAAAAAGGGTAGAGGTTTACCTTAAAGTGCCCATATTACGCTATTTTCTAAGATAGGTTATAATGTTGTTTCCACATCTAAAACATACCCAGGGTTATGTTTTGTTTCATTGGCATATGTTTAACTCACAAACCCTGCATATTTAGACAGAATTCCTTTCTCAAATGGAAAACTCTCCACCTTGTGATGTCATGTGGTAATACAGGAAGTGCTCCGTTGTGTTTTTAAATGCCATACACTTTCACTAGAATAATTTGGATAATTTCAGACCTGGAATTGCTAATCTCTAGTGAACAAAATGTAAGAGGTACCTGTTAATTTGAAAACAACCGCTTCATGATATCACAGGGTGGAAGAGAGCATTTTGACCTTTGAAGATGTAGACAGACTTATAATAAAGGATAATTCAAACACGTGTGAATGAAACAAAACACAACTCCAGGTAACAACATTCTAAAATGACGTAAAGATCACAAGAGTAAATTTTGTGTAATATGTATGACTTGGTTAGGATCAGTCTCTAGGAAATGAATGTATAGTCGATATAATAATAATAATCCAAGAATGTGTGGAATCTCAACATATCTGTGTGTGTGTGTTTGTATGTGTGGGGAGGGTTTTTACATTTAGTGAAGCAAATTCCTATAGGGCTGAGCAGAACAGGGATTTGGGACTTGCACGTGAATATTTCAGAAGGCACATCATCACGTTTCAACACTGCTACAATATTGAGCATAAACAGTATTTTTACACATCTTTTGCTTTGTGATATGTTTTAAACAATTATGCTATCATCCGTTTAGGAGACATTGGCCACCTTTATCAAATGGGAAAATGAAGATGTGCAGATCCTGAGGTCATCTGGTGCAGTCTGTCATCAGGACCCGAGGTAATTTTTTTAAGTTAAGTTTAAAGTTATGTTTTTGTGCCAGTTACTCCTCAGACACTTTTTTTATTTATTTATGATTAGAGTATGTGAAGAACCTGCGTCTGGTGAGCCTCACATATGGCCCGATGACATCACACGTTGGCCTGTAAGTCGACACTCAAACTGATATACTTCATGATTGTTTACTAAACTATCCACAAGATGTATTTAAATTTATTTCCGTTTTCAGATATGCACATTACCTAAGAAATGGAATCACACAGGCTACAGTCACATGGACTGCACAATCAAGGGACGGCCGTGCTGTATAGGAACTAAGGGCAGGTAGAAGCAAATTAAAAAGCCACTTAATAGTTTTTATGTTGGATTATTATCATTATCAGTAATAGTACTATTAGTATTGTTGTGGTTATTTAATTATAATTTGATGCCTTCTCTTCTGGGTTTTTTCCACTGGATTGTATAATGGTTTTAATAGTAAAATGTTTCTGTTTATTGTGACTGAAATAAGGCTGTGCAAATAATGGCATTTTAATCATGTCTAATCGTCAATGACATACTTCCATGTGGTTTGGTGTTCAGATTTTACTTTTTTTTTTTTTCTAATTTCACTTGTAATTGTTAAAGGTCTGTCTTGTTTATTTTCATGAAATTAATCTGGAAAGCTAATTTCATTAGTTTTAATAGTAGGAGAGAGAGACTGTATTGATCCTGAGGGAAATATAATAAGACAAGAAATATATGAGACAAAAATCTAAAAATTGTGATAGATCATTATGTGGAAAGAGTTACTGTGACAAGAATGTGGCCAAGTGAATACTGATTTTCACTATTAAATTGTGTAATAACCTTGTAGGTTTATTGTCACTTTCTTATCAGGCATTTTTTCTGGTATTCTGCAGATGTGAGATCACAACCAGAGAGTATTGCACCTTCATGCGAGGGTACTTTCATGAGGATGCCACACTCTGCTCCCAGGTAAAACATGCAGGTTGTGTGTATGAGTCTGATTTATAGACCTACAGAGTTTATTGATTTTCAGTCCCAGTCATGTAAAGGGTGCAATGATCTCAAACTGTATATTGATACTGTACCTTCCAACCTACAGAGGCTCTGCTCCCTCTGAAGCTGTGTGTCAAATTAGGCCTTAATCTGAGCTTTGTTTTACCATGTATACTTATTATTATTATTATGTATTCACAAGTTCCTGAAATGGTGTCTTGTTTTCAGACAATCTAAAAGGTTAAGACTCTGTTTGCAAATGTGTGCAGTGTGTCACCGTGATAATTGCTGAACATTATTCCATAGATGTACGTACTGCCCTTCCTGCAAAGTGTCACTTAGGCCTGTCACAATAACACATTTTGAAGCATGATATATATTGCTACAGATAAATACTGCAATAAATATTTGAAACTACTTTGTGCCACTGACACAAAATAAAATAATCCCAGTAAACCTATTTTTTTAAAGTATCATTAAAAATCCTGAGCTGCAACAAATAAATGACAAAATAACAAAATAACTGAAATCTTACTATATTACACAAAATGTCTAAAATCTCCCCAACAATTGAAAAGAAAGAATAATCACGATAAATACTGTGCCCCAAAATATATTGTTCCAGCTCTCATATATTGAATGATAAGTCAATATTGTAATTATCGTGACAGGCTTTGTATCACTACGTATGCTATTTTCTCTTGCTACTTTGCTCACACGTTTTTGCTCTTTGCAGGTGCACTGTTTAGATGATGTGTGTGGCCTACTGCCGTTCCTAAACCCTGATGTCCCTGATCAGTTTTACAGGCTGTGGCTCTCGCTGTTCCTCCATGCAGGGTATGTAGGCCAGCACAGCATTTTAAATATTTACAGAATCATACAATATTTTATTATTAACGTCTATCAAGCTCAACAGTGACAGCACTTATTTTTGGCAGAGTGATGCATCTTTGAGTATTTTAACATTTTCCCATCAGTTTTTCAATCTTTGACTATTCTAATTTGTTTTATGAAAGATAATGCCTTTGTAGGCCCTTGAGCACATAAATGGCATTGTACAAAATGTAAAGCATGCAATATCTAAGTGTTATATACTTTCTGAAAGGTCTGGCTTCAAATTAGCGTTCTGACATATTTTTCGAAGGATTATGTCATTTTACCTTACTCGCCATTGATTTTCGTTATAATCACTATTTTTCAATCTGCCCTCATACTGAGTATAAAGCATATAATATCTCATTTGTATATAAGGCTGTCGCTATAACTGCAATATTGCTATACCGCAGTAAGATCAATCAAGACGGTAACTGCATTTTAATGAGGCTCCACACATGTGCCCATGTCTACGTGAATTTGCTATTCTACTATGAACCAGTTAATGTTTATGGGGGTCTGAGCAAATGGGTTCAAATACTGGGACCCAACCTGAACCTGCACACATTAAAATTATGTGTGGCGCACAACTGCAGCTGGCTGTAGTATCTGCGGGGGTGCACCTTGCGAACACACGGTTTTCTTTGTGAAATGTGTTAAAGTCACTCTTCGTTTTACTATTTACACCAAAGTGCAGAGTTTAGGACCTGTTTGAAATGGCCCACGCACTCATTGGATATACCGCACATAGAATCTTTTTGTTGAGTTTAGGACTAAAGCACCTGGATCACATGCACATGCAAAAATAAAAGTTAATGGTGAACACTGGTTGATCACTGTGGCACTTGTGCATGCATAACTTGGCACATCCATTTAGAGTCAGTGGGGACATTCAAGGTACACACAGTGCGTACAGGCGTACCCAAGCAGGCGCCTCTGTGGGGGTTTACTGTGGATATACGGGCTTTACGTCTTACTCAATTGAAGATCCTAATAATATATTCTTGTAACTCGTCTGTAATACTACATTACACTATACCTGCACATGCATGTGTCTGTCACTTAGGCTTGGCTGTGGTTTTATATAGATATTTTTCAAATACATCCCCAAAGTAAATGTATTATTGTGGGCCTCTGTTTGGCCCACTCTTCTTTGCAGAATTGTTTTAAATCAAACATATTGGATGATGTCCGAGCATAAACCACCTTTTTAAGGTCTGGCCTCTGGACTAGGCTCCTCCAATACCCTCATTTTGTTTAGTTTTTTTTTTTTTTTTAAGCCATTCAGAATTGGACTCACTGGTGTGCTTTGGATCATTGTCCTGCTGCAGAGCCCAAGTGTGCTTCAGCTTGAGGTCATGAACTGGTGGCTCGATATTTTGCTCCAGAATTTGTTGATAGAGAGCCGAGTTCATGGTTCCTTCAATCACAGCAAGTCATCCAGGTCCTGAAGCAGCAAAGCAGCTCCAAATCATGACACTACCACCACCATGTTTCACTGCTGGCATAATATTCTTTTTATCAAATACTGTGTTCATTTTACGGCAGATGTAACAGGATGCACTCCTTCCAAAAAGTTCAACTTTTGTTTCATCAGTCCACAGAATATTTATCCAAAAGCTTTGGAGATCATCAAGTTGTTTTTGGCAAAAGTGAGACGAGCCTTTATGCTCTTTTTTTTTGTCATCAGTGGCTTTCACCTTGGAACTCTGCTATGCATGCCATTTTTACCTAGTCTGTTTCTCATGGTTGAGTCATGAACACTGAGCTTTACTGAGGTAAATGAGGCCTTCAGTTGTTTAGATGTTCTTCTGGGTTCCGCTGTGACCTCTTGGATCAGCTGTCACTGTGCTCTTAGGGTAATTTTTGTAAGCCAGCCACTCCTGGGATGGTTCACCACTGTGCCATGCTTTCTCCATTAGTGGCCAGTGGCTCCCTCTGTGGTTTACTTGAGTCCTAAAGATTTAGAAATGGCTTTGTAACCTTTTCCAGACTGAGACAGTTACTTTTCTTCTTATCTGCTCCTGAATTTGTTTGGATTGCGACATGATGTCTTGAGTTCAATATGGCCTACTTCACCTTGTCAGGTTCTATTTAAGTGATCTCTTGATTTGGAAGGTCTGTCAGCAATCAGGCCTGAGTGTGGCTATGAAATTGAATTCCTCAATAATATGATTAATCACAGTTACCTCATTTAACAAGGGGGCCAATTACTTTTTCACACAGGATCATGTAGGTTTGGATAGCATTTTTCTCTTAACAAATGAAATCATCACAGAAAAACTGCATTTTATGTTTACTTGGGCTATCTAATATTTAAATTAGTTTGATAATCTGAAAGTTAATCAGGAAGGGGGCAAATACAGTTTTACTGCACTGTAAGTGGTCAAAATGCAACTAATTTTGCTTTGGGGGGACACTGGCCCTCCATGGCCTCAGGCGTATGTAATTGGGTGAGCTACAGCAGTCTCAGAGGACAGGGAAAGACAGTATTTGACTTTTACTCCATGTATTTGTAAGAACAGCAGAGATATGCTCATTCATACACTTTACTACAGTATATGAAAAATGGGGTACTTGTAAGATCTAGGTACATATGCAGGGGCAACAACAGAAGTATGAAATGTCTAATCAAAAATATAATATGACCCAAATGATTCCAAAAAGTTCTTTATAAATCAAAGTAATTATTATTATCATTATTAAAAGTAGTCTTTCGTTTACATTGCACTAAATATCAAAGAAATTATGTAAATTGCAAAACATACCTCAGAACACTGATTTAAAGCCAGTTCAGATGTTGTAGAGAAAGTGGAGATAAACATTTTAGAATGTCTTCTTACAGCAGGTTCAAAAACAGTGATTTTAAAGGGTTACAGTGGGCACACTTTTGTACATAGCTTCCACAATGTGTTTATTTAACTTTGCAAAAACTATCAGTGCAAATACATCATTGCTGCTACTGATCTTTCACATACACCAGCGTTTAGTAGCCAGCACCAAAAAATCCAGGTTTGATTGAGGGTTAATATAAGTTGCAACATAGTTTTTTGTTAACAAATGACTGGGCAGGGAACTTGGAGTTACCAGATATGTTTTGCTCTGTGTTGGCAGGCTGCTGCATTGTGTTGTATCTGTGATCTTCCAAATGACCATACTAAGAGACCT